TCATTCTTAAACTCGTTGACTTACCTATTCTGATGTTCTGCCGGTCTTGCTCATTTCTTGTTCGAACTCCGTTTTGCATGAGGCGTACATGTAAAAGGCGATCAAACCAAGGATAAAAACCAAAGCAGTCAGTTTACTTCTCGTTGTAAAAATCATTTTGGTACATTTAGACCTGGGGAAAAATAAAAATATCTTAATCTTATGGGGGATAATTAATTCATCGCGAATTAGCAAAACGCAATGTAATACACTAATTGCGACTTTTGAGACGCCGATACCGCATTGTATGGGTGGTCCGTCAGTATTTTTGACGAAAACTGAAAACCAAATGCTAAAAAAATCCCTGAAAATCCGCAAACCGCAAGGAACACCAAAACTGAAAAACTGAAGACTTTTGGCACAAATACCCAAAAAAATTGATCCAAAAAAACGTCAATAAAAACCGCAAAACCTAAAACCCCAATGCCTCCCTCTGTAGTGACACATCAGGCTGTTCCATTTTTTTTCCAAGTACGGGCGCCACATTGTCTGAAATCATCAGGACGTCCAGAGAAGAGAGCTATAAAAACGTCACGCCTCATTCACCGACGCCTCCCTTGGCTACGTTCTGGTCACACGAAACCCTGAACATTGATTCAAAGAATGATTATGGACAAACTATGGATGAAATGGAGACTTAAGAGGAAACTTTGAAGGCCCTCACTCTTTGCTGACTTTATTTCCTGGTGTTTACGATTTTCAAACAACTTGAATACATTACCATCAGCATCTACTTCTCACAATTGGTAAGTCATGTTCAAAGTGCAGTGTATTTACGGATTTAACCCAGGATGATTAGGATTTAACCACAAACAGTAAGCAACATCATTGCAAGAATCAAACACGTTGTTTAATCATCAACATCCCAGCACGCATGCTCCGATATACAAACAAGGGGGGTGGGGAGGGTAGACCTAAACATTCACAAACACTACACAAGGTCATACAGATCATTGTGAACGCCACCTTAAACGGCGTTAACGAACACATTTGGGATGTTAACACCTACATACTTAAATTTTGTATTAGACTTTAAATAAACCCCTCATCTTTAAAAAAGAGAGGCTTAGGAACAGGATCAACACTTTTACTACCGCTTTCAACAAATGCTTAAGGGAGTGTTAAGAGCACAGTGGGAGTTGCAATAAGATGCGCTAATCGTTAGATGCATTCGAGCTTGAGGCTTCAGTGTTAAAGTGCCACCAATCCCCTACTATTTTCTTCGAAAAAATATATCTCCTTGCACGTCTTACTGCTAACAAAGTCGAAAAAAGTGATGTTGCATCTATTTCACTTATTTCAAAGATCCCAATACTGGCTTCCTTTACGTTCACCACCGAGAAGTAGTGAGACTGGGGTGAGGCGATGTTGTTCATAACATTTAGGGAGAAAGCAGTCTGCCTTCAAAGTTTAACTCTGAAGATATATCTTTTAATTACTTTCCTTTTCAATACCATAACTGGGATGGCTCCGTAACTATTGCCCTTGATCGTGGTTAGCTTTGAATAGGGCGCCATTTCTCCATCACTGTGTTCTTGGGGTTGTGTAAAGCCAAATTAGTCCATGGGTCAAGATCCCCTCAGATGAATTTTCGGTACCACTGGGGGAGAGTAATGCTACCATGCATTTTTGCAAACAACGATTACTCCAACAATAACTGCCTAACACTATTCTTTGCAAGCGAAATAACCGTTCTTGAAGGGTACTTTATGAACGAAAATGATAAAGGTTTCTTCTAGACGAGGTTCTAAACTTCTGCGTTTAAAATCATTTGAGTTTCAACGATTTTTTTTTCTATGGCAACGCTAAAATATACTTAGGTATAAGCTAAAAACTCTTATGTTGCTTTGTTTAACATCTGATCTCGCAAAATTTTCACCAAATGGAAGCTTAAAATCATAACAGATTCGCACCCAATAGTTAAGTTAGAAGCCCTCGCTGCAAAGACAACCTATCTTCATTAATATCCGCACGCCATCTTGGATCCACTATGCTGCATTCACCATAATTGAGTTTCAAAAAACAATAATATTATTCTGACGTATATATATATATATATATAGTGAAGCGAAATTGTTTGAAAATATAAAGCATTGTACGTTTTTAGGTAAAAATGCTTATAATTCAATTTTCAAAAAGTCTTTGCTTAAAGTTCGCTGATTTGCCTGAATAAGATGGAGAACCCAATTCACATGGAAGAATAATAATTTCATTATCTCTATAACTTAAAAGAAACGATTCCTTTTTTTTTTAATCGTGTTTATCCCCATCTTGTTTATGCCTCAGAACATTCGTCATCAGGCATTCCCTCCTCCTCTTAATGGATCCATTAAGATCACTGATCACTTCACGTGCACCTCAGCCAACGTCATCTATTGCATAACTTGCACTTAGTGCAAAAAGTTATACAATACATCGGCGAAAAAGGAAGACGACTAGGTGACCGATTCCGAGAACACCTTCGCGAGGTAGAAAGGAATGACAAGGACGCATCAAAACCAGTCGCTAGACTCTTCAATCTACCTAATCACCCTAAGCTGCATATAGCAATCTGCGGTCTTTCCCTACATTTAGTTAGCTCGGAAAGCCGCAAAACTCTTGAACAAAAGTTTGTCTTTGAAATCGGCACTCTTAATCCCATAGGTATCAACGAACGCTTTTCATTCTACTAATTCATTCGTATTAGAGTATTTGAGGATTTGTACAAGGTACTGGAGCAGAAACGTGTTTTTCTCGTCACCATGTTCCCACCAATAGCGTAGCTCTACTTTCTGCATAAAACCCACACATTACCCACAATTCCCCCAATCGCTCTGATGAAGGGCTACCGCTCGAAACGTCAGATTTTTAACTGGCCTTAAGATGACCAAATTACAATTTCAACTTGGTTGATATTCCCAAATTACCTTGAAGAATATTTTACTTCCTAAGACTATTGAATCGCTGAATCGCGTATTTTATACTGCCATATTTAACTATTGTAACCAATTCAAGTCTGATACCCCATCAGTTTTCACCAGTCTAGTATTTTGGAAAATGGATGCAAATATTGTAATGTGTTACATATAAAATGTTCTTTCACCTCAATTACGCCGATTGCTGATGTAACGTTATATGAGATGACGGATAAATAAAACCCCTTTCTTGCATTTAAACTGTAATTGTTTACTTTCCAAACCCTACTCCTGTGGCCCTCTGACCTTCCAAGGCTTCTAAGGTAGCTGCAGAATCACTTTTTGTACAACCTTGAATGTTAAACGTCGTAAAATTGAACACATTTATCACTGACGTAACAAATGATTCATTTTTATATCTTCCAACATACTCTCACTCCTCCATTAACGTCTTCTGAAACTATCCGACAAGTTTCTCCAGATTTTCAAATAAGAATGAATTTCATGTGTAAGAAAGGCATTCGCATGGATAAATCTTAAGAAGAAGAAGAAGAAGAAGAAGAAGAAGAAGAAGAAGAAGAAGAAGAAGAAAATCGACAGCAAAACCCTTTGAGGTCGGGGGGTGGCATTTGCTATTCAACACTCGCGCGCACAAGTGATAAAACATAGAATATGCGATAGTATTAAAACGAAACAGCACTCTCTAAATGGACCGTTATTTTTTCTTGATCTGCTCTTACTTTTTTTCATTCATGCTTCATCGTCAGTAATTTTTTCTACGAGAATGTTCGCAAGATGTTTCTGCGTATGACTTAAAACTACTTGCAGTGATTTGTTTAGCTTTCTTTTTGTCTATTTATCTTTGTGAGCATTGGATACTACTTTTCGTCGAAACTGAGTTGCGAGAGATGAAGTATTGTCAGTCTTACCAGGCGATAAGACAATAAGAACAGGCGATAGGACAATAAGAATTAAGGCGAAAAAAATAATGAAATGTAAATTAATTATCACTGACAGGTTTTGCATGATGTGGCGAGACATAATATTGAGCGTTGCATTTTATACTATTAAGACGATTCAAATAAGATTTACATGAATTTTTGTTTTCCTCGCCTGGATTCATAAGAATGGTAAAACCAAGCAAGTCAGACGCTTTGTTCACGGGTGATGAAAAATTCAGCATAGCGAGTGAACGAAGGCCTGTTTTCGTTGATAATTGGTTCGAAAGTGTAAAAGACAAGTTGGGACTTTCCCCGACATCCTCCAAAATATCATATTTAGTAACGCAACCAACTTTATTCGAATCTCGTTTCTTCAGATACGTTCGATGCTGTTTAACTAACCTGCCTCGCCAAGCAAGCGCCACGTCTTGATGACAAGGCAAGTGAATCTGAAACTGAACACTCTTTGTTTTAAGATGACTGCCATAATTTTACGTCGCAGAACATTAGCCCGCATACGAAGTTTTTTTTATTAGGTAACATATCCTCACACCGCTTTTTTTAGGAATGAAAACCTTTATTCTGATCTTCGGTCGAATTCTTCCTTATCAAACGAAAACGCTCAAAGGTACAAGATCTTTCATGAAGATCGAACCCTATCCGATAAACTAATTACAGTATAGATTAGCGCGTACTCAATATCACTTCGCGGATACCATCTAAGTACAAGCTGAGCAATTCACAACCAAGATACTAGTTACAGCTATGCATCGTATCATATAAATGAGGAACAATACAGAGAAACAAATACAGAGAAACAAAAATGATTACTGAGACCCTCAGTTGTACTTACCAACGTATAGACCTCCCAAGTGCGTCTTTGAAACGTAGAAGCATCAAGATTAGGGGGTTGGCAAACATTTCCAAGGAACAAATTATCATATTTGGTGACGCAAGCAACAGATGCGTACAATCTGAAGTAAAAGAGTCCTACAAACGAAACAAAACTAAACTAAACAAAACTAAACTAAACAAAACTAAACAAAACTAAACAAAACTAAACAAAACTAAACAAAACTAAACAAAACTAAACAAAACAAAACAAAACAAAACAAAAAAAACAAAACAAAACAAATCAGATATAATTTTTGCTAACTTCTCCTTTTTTCGCTTACAATGCTTGCAGCAACCTGCTTAGGTTTGCCTTGAATTAGAATTACGTCGTAACGGAGGGGGAGGGGGGCGGGGAGGTACTTGACTACTGACAAAAGGTAATCCTTGTAGCCGCTTGACACGGCAGAGTTGGCGTGGACAACCTCAAGAGAGATTAACTTCTAATATAAACACTGTCACTTGAATTGATGAGAGAATTAGCCACCAAAAGGTAGCACAAACCAAGAGCGAAAGAAAAATCCATCCAGAAAATCAAGCGAGCAAGCTTGTTTTTATCGTTCCAATAGCCTTGATTTTATCTCTCAATGTGACAATCACTTTACAATTTACACAAGCTGAATTTCACATCGCTAATGAATCCCAATAGCAAAGTTAATGAACAAACCACTAGACTTAATTTAAAATCGAGGTGAACTTCTTTTAAAACTGTGAGAACAGTTTGGATTTCACCTTCTTGCAACTTTGAAATAAATCGGTATTCGTCCTATCGTAAAATTACGACCTTTCTTTCTTTTTTGAAAGTTCTCCATTCTTGTCAGCGGATTGCTCAGCTTGAAGAGTTCTCTTTGTGAAAAGAGCTCAGCTAAACTGAGCAACCCAAGTGACGCGCTTGCCTCGTTGCTACGTGATGTCACACCACCAGTGATGTCTCGACGCCCGCTTATACAAGAATACGTTGGAGTCACCCCTTCCCTCCCGGGACAAACTAGCCTTTCGAAATTTATTGTTTAGAATATGCTAAAAATGGACAACGACCATAACAAGAAATAGGAACAATCGCCTAGCTACAGTTTTACTACTGACTATCAAAATGAGCGTAGGGTGTAATAAGTTGATGCCGTGTTACGTTCATGCAATATGTTCTCGAGTTGATAATGTAATCAAACGGATTCTGCCTAAAATCTTCAAATAAAGTCCGATTTCTGTAAACTAAAGGAGCTTCCTCTCGAATCGTGTCGATATATTCTCTCCAGTATGTCTCCATGCCGGCTACAGACTTTGGGTATGAGCGATGTGTGGGATTACTCGCTGTAACAGGCACCAACATCAATGCCTGGCCTCGAAATTTCAGTTCCACAGCAGTAAACATATGTCTGTTCACCAACCACCAGCATATTTTTTCGTACTGCGTGCGGTAAGGGAAAAGATGCTCAATAGCTTTGTAATGATATGCATTGAAAAGGCCATCAAACCATACTGTTGGTATCACAAGGGGACTGTCCGTCTTGATACATATTTCCCGTCGTCTTTTGTTAGTCCAGTCTGCCCCATGATGCACTTTGTAATCCACAACGCCAACTATAGGCTCGTACTCCAGAAGCCATTTTTCGAAGACTCTAAAAGGTGGCAGCCTCTTCATTTCTGGTGGGGCAAATGAATTGAAACCAAGTACGACATCTTCATCCATAAAAATGTAATAATGGTATTTTGGGGATCTTTTTTTTTTTGCAGCCAAATACAGCGCATTTCGTCCCGTACCCCATCCAGTATTGGGGCCGAATAGATAAGTAATGTGAGGCGACTTTCGCTCTTGACATTTGGTACGAAAGCTCAGCACTATGACGTCACAATTACATGTATCGGGATCACCAATCGCGGAAGAAGGGGCCAAGTTTGGGGGAAGGCATTGTTCTGTTTGAGTGAGGTAAATAAAAAGCTTTTGATATGAATTCTTCGTCGGTTTTTCTGTGGCTGTTGCTTGAGTTAGATCGATACTTCCACTGATGATCTCACCTGCAATAGACAAGCATCGTCAAAGAAAAGAAAAAAAATCACCAAAGAGCTGTTTCTTTAACAAAACCAAACCAATTTCGAGACACATGAAATTATCATGACGGATAAGACCAATTGCGATATGCAAAGTATTTGAGATGATTTTTACGCGTAGGCAGCAATTTCGAGCTAGTGTAATTATCTTGCTTCTTCCTTCCGCGAAGAACAAACAGGCAGCGGCGGATTCAAGCTTTTCGAGGTTAAGAAAATACCAACATAAAATGTTCGTCCTCTCAGAGACCAAAATGTATGACAGCTATACATATAGCCAGTTTTATGTCAAGGGATTCAAGCTACATCGGCAAGAGAGAACAAATTTCGAAGGTGCATGGTCTCATAATTTATGCAAGGTCCGACCTTTTTACCTAAGTACGTTAAAAATGCCAAAACCAGGGCGGAGAGAGATTAGGCCTCTCTCCGCCCTGGCCAAAACATTTCAGCAGTCAGTAGAATCAGTTAGCATTAAAGTCAGAACTCAAATAAGTTATGGGGATTTATTTTGTTTCGTCGATACAGACCACCAAAAATGGTCAAAGTAATCTGGTCATCCGAACAAGAACGACTAATGGATTGATCAGCAGCACAAAAGTGGGTGTGAAGCCGAAAAATAGTTTTCAGTGTGAAAATCGTTAAAAAAGCTAAACTTGCCGTGCTTTCTTCTCCTAAAGGATTGATCTGAATATGCGTCGCAAATAAAATTCCTTTAACCAAGGTTTTTTCGGAAAGACGAGCAGTTCGTGCCATTTATGAGGATAGGTGCAGTTAAAAATTAGCGTTCAAGGGCTAAAGTAATTTTTGCTCGGAAAAATTTTTTTCTGCAAAATGTTGAAAAACTAAGGTGTTTCTGATTACTTTTAGACTAAGAAAGATTCATCATGAGCAAAGTTTGAAAGAAGTCGAGTTTCGAACCGAAATGCATCGGACAATTTTTACAGAGACCACGTCTTAATTTGGACTTTGATGTTATTGATCTGATGCGCATCGAACGCTGTAAATCATTCTTAAACTCGTTGACTCACCTATTGTGATGTTGCGGTTTCTACCGGTCTTGTTGATTTCTTGTTCTAACTCCGTTTTGTATGAGGCATACATGTAAAAGGCGATCGAACCAAGGATAAAAACCAAAGCAGTCAGTTTACCTCTCGTTGTAAAAATCATTTTGGCACATTTAGACCTAGGGAATAACAAAAATATCTTAATCTTATGGGGGAAAATTAATTCATCGCGAATTAACAAAACGCAATGTAATACTAATTGCGACTTTTGAGACGCCAATACCGCATTGCAGAGGTGGTTCGTTAGTATTTTTGACGAAAACCGAAAACCAAATGCTAAAAAGACCCCGAAAATCCACAAACCGCAATGAACACCAAAACCAAAAAACCGAAGACTTTTGGCACAAATACCCAAAATAATTATCTAAATCACCATGAATCGTCAGTAAAAACTGCTGTTCCATTGTGTTTCCAAGTACGGGCGCCACATTGTGTGGAATCGTCAGGACGTGCAGAGAAAAGAGCTATAAAAGTGTCACGCCTCATTCACAACGCCTCCCTTAGCTACGCTCTGGTCACATGAAACCATGAACATTGATCGAATTCAGTGATTATGGACTAAGTATGGATGAAATGGAAACATAAGTAATTTGCTGTCGGGGTTTCCATTCTCACAGTGGCAAAATATTTAAGATGGATAAATAAATAGATAGAAAGATAGATACTAGATAGATTGATAGACAAATTGTGTATTGACATATTCAAATTTGCAGCCTTTCCAGTGAGGCTTAAGTGCACGAAATTTACAAAACATTAAAGGTATATGCATATTTATAAAATAACAGTTTTTATATAAAATGAATGTATACAAAACTATCCAAGTATAAAAGGACCAAGTTTGGATTATATGGAAACTTAAGTAGTTGGTCATTCTCACACTGTGCAAATATTTAAGATTTGAAATGGATAGATAAATAGATAGATAGATGATAGATAGACTGATAGACAAACGATAGATTGTTTATTTTAAAATATTCAAATTCGCAGCCTCCCCAGTGAGGTACGGTGCATGAAATTTACAAAAAAATAAAGTTATCTGCATATTTATAAAATATCAGTTTTCAGGTAAGTGTTATGTAAAATGAATGTAAAGAAAAAATCTAAGTATAACAGTTTTACTGATTGGGCATGGATGGAATAAATGTCTTCGGGTAACTACCAGCGTACATTTTTGGCAACGTAAAACTTCGCTGGTTTTTAAAAGTTTTAGAAAGATATCTTCATTAAAAATAAAACTTTACAGCTGTGAAGCTGGATTACGCGTTTCCAAAAAGTTTATGATTAATAGATAGGTAAACATTAAAAGCGCGATTTCGCTCTTATAATTAGCGTTAAAAACAACGACGCTTGGACCCTTCGACGGTCATTTTCAATTTGAAAAGTAAAGCCATTTTTCAGCACGCATGCGCTTAAATAAATACAATCGATTGTAAGAGTGGCAATGAGATACATATATCTTATTGGA